CCTGCTGACTCCATATATCCACCTCAGCATTCTCATCTCCATCACCATCATCATATCCAACCCTTTTTTCTTCTTTACCGGAAACTCTGATCCATACAACAATATTTGTCACCATCTTGTCAATTTTTTCTTTCAGGTGAATTGCCATTTTCCTATCACAAAACATGCTATTCACTTCCCTCCTTTCATTTTTACCTTATTGATTCTGCTCCTAACATCCTCATCTATTTCTCTATTTTCTTGCACCATGGACCCTAGACACTAGAACACATGGTTGATTTGGACTAATAATCCAATACCACAGATGTATGTGCCCATGTCGTCTGAAAAATGTGTATAACATTCTTCCCCACCCCCCCGGTGATGCATGAACTGTACCTTTTCAGTATGTTTCTCCATTTGCCCAAGCCCCTTCTCTACTTGTTCTCCACTTCCTAAAATCATGGCCACATTATCCACCCAGAGGTATCCCTCCAGATATACAGACCTCACACAAGTAGGATTGGACTTACTACTGACCCTTGATGCACCCTAACCTGGATCAGAAATTCCTCCATCTGCCTGCATATGCTTCTAACTCATATTTTTGAGCATCTCTACATGCCTTGCATGACTCCGGCTGCCAATTGTTCCCTCATGCAGCACTGTACCACTTCACTTCTCTTGGTACACAGTGAGACACACTTTCTGTGTCAGTGAACACCAGGTTTTGTCTGAACTTCCATTGGAAGTCTCACTGTAAAATAAGGCCAATCGATTTCCTTAATATGAACACAAGCTGACTATCACAATTTTTGTACTTCTCAATCTTTGTTCAGCAACCTCTTCCCATAGTTTCATTATAGAGAGATAAAGCTCATGAACCACATAACTGCCACAGTTGTGTATCTCTTCTTTGTTCTGAAAAGCAGGCATCATGAAGCTCCTTCTCCATGCATCCAGAATCTTTTCATAAAACATGATCTAATTAAAGAATACCATGAGATGACTTCTGCTTTCTCATCCTAGTGCTTTGCATGCCACTCTTGGTACCAAAGTACTCCTCATATTATTACTTTAATAATATGCATTATTAGTGACGATGAGAGAACTAGGCAACCAACTAATGCCTCTAATGAGCTCAGTGACTCAAACCCTTATTTCTTTTCAACTCCTAGCAGGAGTTAGACTCAACACAAGCAGAAATGAAATTGAGGGAGAAAAATCATTGTTCTATCTCTCTGGCTTAATTTTTGCCCCAAAATTTCATCCTTTCCTTTGTTGCCCCTTTTTCTTTTTCAAAGGGAACAACGAGAAACTGCTTTATTTTACAACCAGCTTCCTTAGGTGACTTAATTACTACATGATTCAAGTACATCACAGTGGCTGCATCTACATGAGATGCTTACTGCACAGTAGCTCATTACTAATGCGCAGTAGCATCACCGGGCACAAACCATCAAGTGATGCTACTGCACAGTGGTAATGAGCTACTGTGCAGTAAGCATCACTAGGCAATTGTGCCAGGATACTACTGCACAGTAATGGTTATGCAAGCACTAAATGACTGCACAGTAATAACTGCACAGTGGACAGCTTGTGCAGACATGCCCAGTGATACTGTAACAAACTTGGATTCAGAGTCACAGTGGAGCAGAAAAATACTGCCTAGTTTTGTTGGCATTTTCACAATGGCAAAACTTTGGAAAGAGCAAAGAAGCAATTCAAAGCCAACCTTTTCTTCCTTTTGCTGGGTGTGTCAAATGTATTACATTTTCACATAGATTATAAACAGCTTTGTGAGCAGACACAGGGAATGTTAGTATTATTTGCCTTACAGTAACACAATGGCCCCAACTGAGCCTGGGGTTCCATTTTGCAAGATACAAATACATAAGATAAGACAGTCCCCTTCTCAAGAATTTATGAACTGAACAGAAAAGACACAAAGAATAGCAGAAGAAAGAGACTCAGAGGTAAAGTTGCTCATCCAAAGTTAGACAGCAAGTCAGTGGCAAAGCTGGGAACAGAACTCTGTTCTGCCTTCTGACGCTGTCCTCCTTTGGACAAGAAGTAAGCTGTTCCTATGCTTTACTTTCAACCATTAGCAAGAGACTAAGGCTTTGGATTGATGTAACCTGAAACAGCTTTGAAAGGGGAAGGCAGAGTTGTCTCTTCAGAGCACACATCAGGTATCACACTATAGCTTACATCTGCGTGCTCCTGTAGAGATAAAAGTGAGTCAAATTACTTTTACTTTAACTCTGAATGAAATAAGGTTCAAGTCAGCATGGTTTTGCCTGACTTATGTCTGAATACTCTTATAGTAGAAAAAGAGTTACATCTAACAGCACATACCAATTATCATTTGATAATATACAATAGATAACTGTTATGTCTGTCCATACTGTAAAAGAGATGCTCTTGTCTAGTCTAGCAACATGAAGGCTAAAAGAGAATAGGATTGTTCTCTGTCAATATAATCAAGAAGTTAAGCTCCAGAGAGAGAAAAGAATCATTTAACCTAAAAGACAATGCTGGAGTAGAACAAATAGATAAAAACTGGCCATGAATATATTTAGATTGTAAATTAGAAGAAGGATCCTAAACAACTGAGCAGAACAGAACAGTACGGTTCCGCAATGGTTTCACAGAGGAAGAAGTAGGGGCAAAGAGAAAGAAGAAAAAAAAAGATTTAAGTTGCAACTTGATCAATTTATAAAAAGGACTCTACAGGCATTTATACATGTGGTCGGGGAGGGGGGTGCTTTAGTTAGAGCGACTCTGAGACCCACTCTAATTAAAGCATCCAGTGTGTCACTTGTATCCACGTCTCCATGCTGAAAAATGTCAGTGGGGGCACTTTAACTAAAGTTTGTCAAATGAGCTTTAGAGAACCCCCACCTCCACTTTTAAGCACAGGGAGGCTGATACACATGATGCTGGAGTCTGCTGAAGCACAGTAATTACCACACTCCGGAAGACTCAATTAATTGAGTCTGCTCCTAAATGCTGTAATTACAGCAGGTCAAAGCAGTATCACCGCATGTGTATAGGCACCCTATAATGTGGTTGTTTGTGATAGCAGGAGACTAGATTTGGGGAGTAGACAGAGGTGACAATTTTCACCTGATCTGGCCTCTGAAAGTGCTCTACAGCTGTAACCAAACAGAAGTGCACAGCTGCAAGGTGCTTAAAAGGGAACAATCCTGTGAAAATCTAAACCCTCATTGCATGAGGGTTCAAATGAAGATATTTCAAAACACAGAATCTATAGTAACTTGCATCTGCCTGCCTCTCATCCTCCAAGCTGTTTTCAGAATGGGAGGGGGGAAAGGGAGTGGGGGAAGTTCAGTCTGGGGTTTTTTCAGCCAGCACTGGAGGGTGACGTGGATGGACTGGAGCCCCTGCAGGATTGTGCCCAGGTGGGGAGGCTCCAATCCACCCACCCCCATCTCCAGTGCCAGCTGGGAAACCCTTAGAAGGAATTTGCTCTGCTTCCTTTCCCTCCTCACTTCCTGAAAACTGCGCCCGGGCTGAGAGGGGGGAGGGGCCATTGGCTAAGGGAAACCAACTGCATGCTTGAAGCCAGCAGCTGAATTCCCTAACCCTCTCTCCCCCCTGGACCCATCTGTGAACTTTGGTCCAGGGCATCGTTGCAACTCATAACGCTTCCCGCAAAGCATTATGAGTTACAGTGGAGAGCTACACTTCTGCCTGCGCCATTGATGAACCAAGTAAAACCCTTTCAGTCCTATATTTCCTTTGCTAAAGCTTTTGGTCACAGTAAAACTCGTATCTTCCAGTCCAACTAAACACAACCTGTGCTTCTAATGTCATCACACAAGACCTCCTTAGGCTCTAAGCTAAGTAGTTACAGGAGGGACTGAGGACTACAGTACAGGAGCTAGCCACTGGCTAATTAATCCATTGCCTAACTAATCCATTGAGTCTGTGATCCTGTTTCTAAAAGTAGCCAGTACCTGGTATTTCAAAAGAAAATAACTTGAATACCCACAATACACCTACAGGGTTGCATGTGATAAATGGGAAAGAAAGATGATCTTCGTGGACCTTTGTCAGTCCTCGAAGAATAAAACATTTAATTCTATCCTTCTCCATGACCATAAGTAATAATCCGTGCTTGTAATGTCACATAGCCTCATCTGCACATAATACGAACTGCACACTGATTTCTGTTTGTACTGCACATTTTTTTCACCTGAGTAATTCAGAGCTGACTGATCCAATGGACCCATAGACACCGGGGCTCTTGAACTTGAAGCAAAAGATGTAGGATCATGATGTTGGGCTTGCTCAGTCACACTGGCTTCAGATATTCTTGTCTTACTGCCAATATCAGATGTTGACCTGTATACAAATTAAAATAAGAAACTGACCATTCTGAATGATAGACAACTCCCTTAGCAACAGAGATGTTTTGACTAAAAGGGTGGCAGCATTGCAAACAAAAACTAGCAAGGAATGACTTATCTTTGCTGTGGCATAATAGGAAATTGGATGAATATCAAAGAGAAATTTCCTTTGCCTTGCCTACTGCTTCCAACAGTATGTTTTACATCAGAGCATTTACCCAACACTCCAAGAAAGATCCCACTGGCCTGCCACACACAAAAATCCTGGAGAACAATAAAGCGACCAGGCTGGCTAAATACAGTATACGTGGTGCAGTATTATAAGGCCAAAGGCCAAATGCTGTGTGGTCTCAGGGTATGTCCATACCACTTCACTGGTGACCCTGAGGGCACTGTGAAGCAGCAGGCCCCAGTCACCCACTCCTGCTCCATACATGCCAAACATGTCAAAGCCAGAGAGCTTTTAAAAGCATCGGTAAGAGGGTTCCTCAAAGCATCTTTGCTGACTCATTTCTGGGTTTGATGTGGAGTAAGTGCAGGCATATTTCACAGCAGTTCTCTCAGGAACATTATGGAAATAGTATGGACAGAGTCCTTACATTACTGAAGTGAACTGTTATCCCTTAGAAACACAAGGATCTTTTTATTACTTTTATGAAATTTAATGGATAAACAAGAATAAGCAAAGCAATGCTTGCCACCTTTCTTGTTTTCTTTCTATGTAGATAAGATTTAATTGGCAACCAATCAGAAAACTCCCATTTGTTTCAGCATCCTAATGGCATTCTGCTGAAAACCCAGCAGTGTTTTGGGATTATAATTTGCCCTAGGTGATACTGTAAAGTGTAAAGATACTGTAAAGTGTAAGACTAAGGCCTCAAACAGGCATTCATTTTCAGTGATGCAAATTTCTGAGAAAGTTCCACCGCTAGAAGTATTTGAGAGAAGTCTTCAGCCTGCAGCCATGCCTCTCCCCTGCTCCTTGCACATTCCTGAGACTGGGATGATCCTAGACTGGGTTAAGCATGGGAAGTAGTGGCTGCTCTAGTCTCCTAGGACTGGGAAGAGTGGAGCAGTGGGGGATTCCTATTCTAGGACGTGGCTGGGGAACTTTGGCAGCTTCTCTGGTTCCTTCCCAGCAGGGCAACACCACCCCCCCGACCTCCAGAATGGGGTCCCCAGTCTGTGGAGCAGACAGAGAGAGGTGAGTAGTACAGCTGTGCAAAACACCATCGTTTCATTTCAATGTTTCGAAGGGACAGTGTTTCATTTTGTCGTTTTGTTTAATTTCAAAGCACTGCCCTGTTTCATTTCGTCAAAACTGTTTCGTTGTTTCAACATTTCACCGATAGGCTATAATGGGGAATCATGAAAATGCCTAAAACATTGTCATTTGTTACCTGATTCAGATGCAAATTGCAGGGATGGTAGCCCCTTCTGAGGGCATACAGCCTGACAAGTTTTAAGGAGATAGGTGCAGAGGTTTCTCAGAGACTGCACCTCAAAGTCTTGAAAGCAAAATTTGTGACACTTGCCAGCAGCAGCAGCCTCCTGTCATCTGGCACACAGATCCGGGGGCTCGTAGCCCCAGGAGGGCTGCAGAGCTGGGCAGGCCCCTGAATCTGCGCTGGATGACAGGAAGCTGCTGCAACCGCCTGGGACCGGGGCTGGGTGCAGCTCGCACCCAACACCGGGGAAGACTCATCGGCTCCACCAGCCCCATGGAGCACAGCCTGGCAGCGGGAGGCGGAGAGACCCAGGGCTGCGCTCCCCGCTGGGCTGAGCTACATGAGGCTGTGGAGCCACTTGGACTGCAGCCCTGGCTCTCCCCTGCCTCCCACCACCAAACTGCTTCAAAACTCAAAACGGTTCAAAACTTTCAAAACATTTTGAGTGTCCTCATGTCATTTCAAAGCTGTTTCAATGCTTTTTGTTTCATTTCGATCTCACTGTTTTGAGCTCAAAACGCATTGAAACAACTTTGAAACAAAACACTCGGATAAATTTTGCATCACCCTAGTGAGCAGCTGCTCCTCTGCAGTAGGGCAAAACAGGAGGGCTGCAGGTGCCATCTTTGGATATGCTGCACATGGGGGAGCTCTAAGACAGTTCCTGCAGTCCCATGCACAGGGCTGTGGGCATGTGGCTCTGCAAGTTCCATGCAGGGAGAAGCAGATCAGCCCCCGCCCCGCACCCCCACTACAGCACTTGGAGAGCTGTACATCCACTGCCCTGGCACCAGATGGGGCAGGGAGCAGCAGGCAATGCCCACATGACTTCTCCAGACCAGGTTGTATCTGGCTTTGGAAAGGCTGGGGGTGGGATGATGAGCTGTGCGGAAGTGTGCCCCCCCTCCAACTTCACCAGAACAGAGTCCTGGAGTCTGGGGAAGGCACAAGAAAGGTGTTTGTTTGACTCCTGCCAATCACAGCAATTTTCCGGGTAGAAATGTAATTCCTGTACATGTCCCTTGTAACTTCATCCACCTGAAAAGTGATGAATCTCACTATGAAGAGCAAAATTTCTATATTAAAATAAAGATGACAAACATGCTCTTTCATTAGGCATTAGAAACACAGGTAAGAAATATGGAAAAAGCAGACAAATCCCTGAGGCCAGTTTTAAAAACCCCATTTTATAATTTATTCATTCAATGTTGGGACTTCTTAGGAAAAAAGAAGCAAGGAAAGTGTAAGTGTGACTCCCACTTTTATGGCATATTTGTAATGTGATATGACATTATGTCTTTTAAAAGTCAAGTCAGACCACAGCGTAAGAGATACCAGAGCATATATCTGTTAAATTAGGCAACTGACTAGTTAGTAGCAGAATAAAAATAAGGGCCCATTTGTTGTTGGTTTTTCCCCCCATTGTGTTGAAATGTTGTGTATCTAAAAAGAAAACAGCTTGTTCTTACTTTCATGAATGCCTCTTCACTATGAAGAAGATGGTTATTAAGTGTCACTTTTGGCTTTAATACAGTTACGGAGGGATCCTCATTACATTAATAGGGGGTTACAATTCTTAGCTATAGAACAACAAAAATTACCTCCTGAGAGAGGCAACAGCCACAGGACCTGTTCTGGGAGGAACAGGGGGTGGGGGAGAGCCCATTATCATTTCAGGCAGCTGAGAAAACCTGTAAGCCTGAAAAAGAGAAGAAATTATATTTTCTCAAACATCTGCTGACCTCATTCAAAATAAAAAAATTAAGAGAACCTCAAAAATTAGATGTTTTGTTTAAATTCATGCTAGCAGTTGCTGTACATTTGTAAAATTGCTGGCTGCTACTAAGTTTAGTAGTATCTCTAGTAGTAACCATTTCATTTCAGAATTTAAAACCGGCTGATGATTTTAGAAGGATAAAGAAAGCATAAACAAACATGGATGGGCTCAAAGAGCTACTACTGAGTTTAACTCAAAAAGAAGAAACAGAAGAAAATATTGCCTCTATGATGCACGTAACCTAAGCTGAAAAGGACATCCTTCATAACTAAATAAGATTCATATCCACCTTGAACCCCTGAGGTTAAAAAAAAACCAAAAACAAGAAACCCGCAGTACTTTTTTGCTTCCTTTGAAAGTAAAAATGTTTTTAACTTAATATATGTGAAAACATCCTTGAACTAACATATACTGAAATGAAACTGCCTGCAAGCAATTACTTTATATAGCAACTTGTCTTTCCTGGCCCTTAAGGAAATAACTTGTCTTTCCTGGCCCCCCAGCCACCCCTTTTAATTTTCTGCTAGACAAGATAACAAAGTTACTCAAAGCAGAACATACAATACTGTCCCAAATAACTCCCAAAAATCAAAGCAATTCAGGGAAACATAGCTCCAGACCACTGGGCCATGAAATCAGGCATCTTGCCTCTAGCGATACTGGATTTCATCTTTAATTTAGCTGGAGAGTAAGCTATTTGTACATGAAAGAAAAGGTCTTGTGACCCAAGGCACAAGTCTGGAAGCATGAGGTTTTGTCAGCATTATCTTGAACTTTTTGTCTTGCTACAAAGTTGATTAGTCACAACTTTGAAACAAATGAAAATAGTTTGGAAATAATGACAGCATCTGACTCCACCTAACACTCAAACTGAATCTCTTGTTTGACACTCAGGCTGCTGACAGACATGAACCTCCCCGCCAAAAAACCCCCATGGCTTTAGCAGAAGCAGCAGTGAATTAATTTGACCCAGTTCCACAGCATCTGTATAGATCAGGCGCTTCAACAGGACTTTTTGGCACTCTTGTCTAAAGCTGATTCAATTAGTTATTAGATTAGGGGCAGTCAAATACAGCCCGCAGGCCACATCCAGGCAGCCAGACGATTTCATCTGGGACGTGGGCACCCACCAATTAACTGTACCCCATCCAGTCCACATGTTTTGCTCCCACCCTCATGCATGGGAGGGCCCCAGCCCCAGCCAGCACACATAGCTTCCAGGCAGGGCTGCTGCTGCCACTGCTGCAGCTGCCAGGAAACCTGCTCAGCTTCTCCCACCTCCAGAGGCTCCTCTTTGGGTCCCTGCTACAGTGGGCATGGGGAAGCTGCAGCTGTGCAGGAGCATGGAGTGTGGGGCTGGCAGAAGCATGGAGCCCAGGATCTGGGGCCCGTGCCCAGTGGAGCAGCAGAAACACAGAGCCTGGGTTGGCCCAGTTCCATTGCATGGGGTATCCCTTCAGTTCACACAGGGGCGACACACAGCGGGTGCACAGGAGTGCACGTGCACCCCCTGAGAGTGCCAGTGCACCCCCTGTCAGGCCGTGCTCCCTGTGTAGCCGGTGGGCAGCAGGGCAGGCGGGAGCACCAGTGCTCCCCCTGCAAGCAGTAGCTGAGGAGCAGGGCTGCCAGCAAAAGTGGCCGCGCCACTTCTGGAAGTGGCTGCCGGAGTTCCAATAGCGGCGTGGCCACTTTTACTGTGAGTCAGATTGGTCCCCACCAGGCCAGTGGAATCAGCCCCCAGGGGATCCCTCTTCCCCTGGTCAGTGGGATTGGCCACCCAGGGACTCAAGGGGCACCAGACACCCATGAATTTACATGCAGCTCCTGGGACTCGCACACCACCAGGGGGAAGCCGCATGCTATGGAGCTAGATGCCTAGGCAAAGGGAGAAAATATTATTTGGGGGGGATGAGTATACACGCACACACACACACTGCCCAGCAGGTAAGTCTGTGGAGGGGAAGGGGCAGGGGAGAGGGAAGAGGTGTTGGTGGGGGCAGATCAAGGCCCCCATAGTGAGGGAGGGACTGGGGCACAGGTAGGGGCAGGAGCTGGGGTGAATGGGGCCCTGGAACAGGTCATGGGATGGTTGGAGCCTGGGTGGCTTGTCCAGGAGTACAGGGGTCTCCCACCTCTGTGCACTCCCTGGGGGAGGTTCAGAGGGTATGTGCCCTCCAGAACTGTGTGCAGGGTGGAGGTGGGCTGCTGCTGCAGGCGGGGGCTCTGTTGCTGCCTCAGGAGCCACGCAACACCATGTGCCTACTGTCACCAAGCAGGCAGGAGATGTGGCGCAACCTGGTGGTGGCAAGCACATGGCATCATGCAGCTCCCAAGGCAGCAACAGTGGGGCACAGAGCCCCAGCCCAAAGTGGCAGCCTGCCTCTGACCCACGGACAAATCTGGAGGTCATGTGCCCCCCATGCCTCCCCCAGGGTGCGCATAGTGGCAGGACCCCCCCAGCACCCCAGAACGAGCTGCCCAGTCTCCGACTTTCCCACGACCCACCCCATTCACTCCAGCTCCTGCCCCTGCTTCAGCCCAACTCCCTCCCACCTTGATCTGCTCCTCCCCCAGTGGGGAGCAAGCAACAGAAGGAAGGATGGTGCACAGAGCTGCACAGTTGTAAGTGTGATACAGATGCCACTGGAATTGACATAGGGAGAATCTCCATGATTCGAGAGTTTGGAGGAACACCCGGCAGCAGGTACCCGAGCTCCAGGAGAAGAGGTAGGGAGAGAGAGCCCCACAAAGGACCCACTGAGCTAGGCCGAGACAGGGAGGATCTCTTGTTCCACTGGGTCCAATGAACTGTAAGAGACTGATTGCATATCTAGAATGAATCATGTTATGTGATTCACACCTTTGGGAAAGTCGGAACTTTATTATGTGAGCAGACCTAATCTTTAATAAATTGAGAGCAATTTGATCATCTAATGAAATTAATTTAACTGCTTTTGCTTAATGATCAATGAATGATGGATGGTTTTGATTTAATCAATTATGGCTATTTGATTGTCTAATAAAATAAATTTGGTGGACTGATTAGCTTAATGATTAATGAATGATGGACATTTTGGAATTAATGGATTATTGTCATTTGATCATCTAATGAAATTAACTGGATGAATTGATTTGCTTCATGATTAGTGAGTCCTGGACTTTTTTATTTTTTGAGTTCACCGATCATCGTTTACTTATAATTGACTGGTTAGATGGAACCTAGGCTGAAAGTGGTTCTGAATCAACTGCATTCTCTTTGGAGAATCAAACTAATAATGCTGAGTGAGCTAACACTGTGGTTGCCCCACTTTGTGGCGAGTTAGACAACATCATAATACCCAGCTGGTATGTAGAAATGGTGTGAGGAGACGTGGAGCCCTGCATAGCACCCTTGCTTGAGACCAGCATAGGTACCAACTGATAACCAGGGACCCTCCCAAAAGTATCCAAGAACAAGGAATGGCAAGTGAAAGGAGGGCCCATGGCAGTGAGTGGGACATGCTGAGGGTCAAGCTGTCTAATCCTAAGAGCCAGTATTTCGGGAGCCAGAGTTCTCGTCTGTTGTGGAACAGGTTGTACATGTGGCACTGCTTACATTCATTAAGTGGTCTTCCAGCTGAAATAACTGACCACCCCTGTATTAGAAACAAGTGCCAAAAAATCCCCACTACAGCGCACAATCGATACAGACATTGGGCGAAATGGGTTTGTAACAGGAAACCCTAGCCCTGTTATCAGGAAGCAGGAAGGCCCCTTTAAATCCAGAACCTTCTGGGTGTAGCCAGCCAGTCAAGCAGGGGTTAATGACCGAGCCCTGCCAGCTGGTCAGGCGACAGGAAGGAGAAGGCCAGAACCATATAAACCTGAAATGGAGGAGGCCAGAGGGGAAGCAGAGAAGGAGGCTCCCAATGACTGTGAAGCAGCTGCGGCAGCTGCCTTGGGGGCTGTGAGACAGAAGCACAATCACATGTAAGCGGGCACTTTGCCTCTCTTATTTTTTATTTTCATTATATAGCCATAGGGGCCCATGATTTATATTTAATGTTACATGCCAGTGGTTTGTGGCTGAGGCTGTAGGGGAGAAGGAAGCCTCATTAGCACCAAGGGGTGCCATGATACAGGGCTCAAAAAGCCCTGCACCAAGGGGTGCAGCACTAGGTCCATGAGCCCAGAGCCACTTGAAGGGAAGATAGGAGCCTTGAAGCCAGGTCCTAGTGGGTGGACTTAGGCAAACGGCGCTAACTACAGAAGATCTTGGAAAAAATTATCAAAGAGACCATTCTTGACAAACCAGCTGAAGGTAACATCCATTTGTTCTGGGTAGGTCTTGCCTGACCAATCTCATCTAAGACCAGGTGACATATCACCTGGACAAGGGAGAAGAGATTGACGTCATACATCCTGATTTTGAAAAAAGCTTTCGATCTGGTATCCCATGATCATCTTATAGAAAAACTGACCAACTGCGGCCTCGGCTACATCACAGTCCACTGGCTGGGGAATTGGCTCCATGGTCGGACCCAGAGAGTGGTAGTTGATGGAAGTCAATCATCATGGTGCGCCATGACCAGTTGGGTCCCCCCAAGGCTCCATCCTTGGGCCTATCCTTTTCAACATCTTCATTAATGATGTGGACATTAGTATCTGAAGCGGACTAGCCAAGTTCGCTGATGACACCAAACTTTGGGGTATAGTGTCCACACCCGAGGACAGGATAGTGACCCAGGCTGACCTTCACAGGCTCAGAAAATGGGCAGAAGAATACCTGATGGCCATCAACACCGAAAAATGCAAGGTACTCCACCTTGGAAAGAAAAACCTGCAGCACACTTATAGGCTTGGCAGTGCTACGCTTGCTAGCACCATAGCTGAAAGCGACTTGGGGGTCATGATTGACCACAAGATGAATGAGCCACCAATGT